TAACTGACTTTCTGTGGTTCCTCCTCATTCATCCCTCCAGCTGGTCCACCTGCTCGGCGTGGCTATCTACCGAGCCCTGGATTGGGGGCTGGATGACACTGAGGAGCGCGAGCTCAGCCCACAGCTGGAGCGCCTCATCGAACGCATGGCGGCAGGGGACCAAAGCGGAGGGGGCTACAGCACCGCCGGAAACGCGACAACAGATGAGGGGTACAGTGGACAGGAAGAGGAGGAGGAGGTAGAGGAAGAGGAGGACCGGGAGGGCATAATCAGGCCGGTGTGTACGTTCCGCCAGGTGATGGCGCTGTGTGCATCTCGGCTGGCAAACCCAAGTCTGGCTCCGGAGCACTACCAGGCCGTCTGCAGGGCTCTGTTTGTGGAGACCCTGGAGCTGCAGACCTTCCTCGTCAAGATCAGAGATGCAAAGGAGGTACGCTGAGTTTGTTATCATCTCGTCATTTTACGTTTTGTTTTTTGTATTCATAGGATAGACTGGAATGTTAAAAAGAAGGAAAAACAATAAAGAGTTGACTCAGCAGCGTAATGCAAGCTCAGGTTTCAGCTGTCCTTGAAAGCATCGGGTATGTGCCACCTGTAAACAGGTGTAAACAAGAATAACTGACACGCCATAGCTGCTGCTTCTGTGGTGTGAACCGTGTAGTGTTTGCCCTCTAAATTTGAAATTCTTACAGCCTTTCTCCATTAATATTCCTGTTTACATCCTGCAGACTGATAAATGACTGAAGAAGCCGCCTCCACAGTTTCCTCCAACTACTCAACCTTAAATCTGACTTGCGGCGTGTCACTGCAATGTTTCTGCTTTTTGATCGATTTTTAGCAGAAACACGGCGCAGAAAACTGTTTACATGAGTAGACTGACACTGTGTCATTCTAGCAGATCCAGATGAGGCAGAGAGCCTTCACTCCAGAGTTGTTGTTAGTTAACACCTTTCTGTTTCAGCAGCTGTATCTCCACCTGATTTTACTCTCCAACCCAACCCAATTTTTTTTAAAAGGCAGGAGGCAGGAGTCAGGCAGGAGTCTCCTTGAGCTGAGACTTTTGCAGATGACATTGTGATCTGTAGTGAGAGCAGGGTACGAGGCGCAGAGATGGTGAAGTTTAGATGAGTTTAAACACTTGGAGTTGACCATCCAAAGCAATGGACAGTGCACAAAAGAGGAGAAGAAGAGAGCATGACACGGGTGGATTTGGTGGAGTGCCAGGGATGACTTGTGACAGAGGGATATGAGCAAGAGTGAAAAGGGAGGAGGGTTGTCCAGAGAAGGACAGAGCAATAGTGGACATATTGAAAAAAGGGTGTTAAAATTGGAGCTTCCAGGCAGGAGGAAAATAAACCTCAGAGGAGATTCGTGAATGTAGAGAAGGAGAACATGCAGAGGGTTGGTGTGCCCGAGGACGATGTGAGAGATGCTAGAATAAGATGGAGGCAGATGTTGCAACCCCTAAAGGGAGCAGCCAAATGAGGAAGAAAACAACTGTCTGAATAATTTACTCAGGCGGGGCAACAAAAATGATATGAATGGCTTCATATGTATTGTTAGCAGCTAACATTAGTGATGGTTTATTAATTATCATTCACCTAAAATGACACGCTCACAGCTGTCCCATCAAGAACATATGGGAACACTGATGAATGTAGACTTTATTCCGAGTCAGTGAGTGCAATATGCTGTAATTCTGGTTTCCACAACTTGATATATTATCAAGTTTTTGACTTGCTTACATCTTGATAGGTTTTTCTGAAAAATTCCCAAAACATCTCTATCACAAATACCTCAATTGATACT